ATCTATAAAATACGACTTAAAAGAATATATTTACAGTAAACCTATTATTTTCAAGTTTAAAAACTCAATGTTTACGCTCTCATATCGTTTCAAATAATAAGGTAGAATTTTTTAACAATATTCTGGGATTCCTGGAGGGGTGTAGATCAAGGTGGTGCGCGACTTCTGGGACACCCTGTATAATTTATAACACTATGCAATTGTCTGTGGTAGGATTTTAAACAAGTTCGCATAATTCTATGTCTTATTTTAAAAAAAAATTTTGTTATAAACAATTTAACATATTTTTATAATTCAATACCCAAAAAATGTATTCGAGAATTTTAACAGGACCTAGTTAAGGATCCTCCGCAAAAATTATTTATAACAAAGCCATTTGCTTATAAAAATTCAACGTGTTGATGCTCTTAATACAGCAATTGTCACCTTATTGGGCAAATTTACATCTACCTTTGGAAATTGAATTATAACAAAACTTAAAATATTTATAACAAAAAAATGGTTTTAAAATAAATAAATATGCTTACTTTATATACATATTATATTACTACAGACAATAGTATAAAGTTTTCTTAAATAATTTTTAATATTAAAAAAGTTGTACAACCTTTTATGGAAATCAACTTTTTTTAAATGTTAGGGTTATTTTGTAAATAATTGCATTTTGCACCCTCTAAAAATATACTAATTAGCTATTTACGGGCTTTAATTTTTTGTTAAGCATCATTCAGAACCTCGTAATTAGTGGAATAAATTAGTGGTTTAAATTAACGTAAAAGTTTATCTTATAAATATACACAGTGTTGTTTACAACCAAAAAAATAGTGGTAGTACTTTTCAATTAGTGGACAAACTTTGCAAACTTCTAACTTTTACCACTAATTATAATTGGAAAGCGGCTTTGCGCATGTGCGCGGATATTTTATGTCAAAAGCAAAAAGTTTGAAGTGAAGGTAAGGTTATATAAATATTATTGTAATGGTTGTAAAAAAAATTATTTTAATATAATTAATATTGTATATGTCAGGTTAAGAAAAATGGACAATCTTTTAGCAAATTCCCTTAATTTTAGATGTTAATTTTGCGCATTGTGAATGATCGTTTTGTGTTTCCACTAATTACAAGGTTTTGAATGAGGCTTTCTTGTTTTCACTGTGAAACTCATTCAAATTCAAAAATTATATTTGTTTTAAATCACCTTAACCTCCACAAAAGGAAGTTAGATGTGTTCTGAGAAAAAAAACTCCAATTATAACTATTTAACCTTAAATTGATTTTTTTTAATTATTTATTATTGAATTACCACATGTTTGCACCAAGAGTTTCAATTATTGTAACAATTATTAACCATATTTAAAGTTATTACCGGCGCATTCGCCAAAATTTAAAATAAATTACCATAGGATGATATCGTTTTAACATCGTAATACAAAATGTTACTATAAACAATAATAGTAATAAATAAATTAGAAACAAAATATTAAGACCCAATTTTATAAGATAATATTTTATAAGTTATGTAAACAATTTTTACATAATAATTATTGTGTTTAAGAAATATTTTTTTTTCAATTTTTAGTTTATTGGTTGACCCTGTGTATTATTATAGATCTTATTCATATACATAACAATTATTTCAGTATTAAATAAAAAAAATGTATATTTTTTTTATTTAATACTGAAAGTTCTATCAATTGAAAAAAAATTTAAATGGGAAATTTTGTATGTTGGTAGATGCTTTGTTTTTGTTCTGTTTATTATAAAAATAAGATCTTATAAATTATTAATTAATATTATTTTATTTATAAATAGTGTCCATGTCCTTTGTTATCTATTTTGGATATGGAGGTATTAAAGATATTTAATCAATCACAACGACTATTGTTGTATCATATCTCTTGTAAATTAAATTCCCTAGCATACTAATGTATACATGGCTAAATCTAATTACCCAGAAGCCAAGAGTTTATAATTGAAGCAATATTAATGCTTTCATTGCCTGCCGTTTTATCCCGCACAAAGCAACCATGTATAAATTTAAAAAAAAGGGCACACAAAATATTAATTAAAAATTACACGTGTCGAAACTTAACATTGTTTATTTTTTGATTATTTGTTTTAATAATTTTTATAACATCGCAAAAACAAGAGCTGATTGGGCAAAATTATTTTAAATGTATAAAGTTGATTTATATCCTACAACAAAATCATTGTTGACCAGTATTATACTGTAGTATTAGTAAATCCCTACTATTACTATTATGCTATTATAATAATACTAATAATAATTATTATTATTATGCATTCGTAAATAAATTCAAAATAATTAAATCCTTTAACAGACAATCATTAATATTATAGCTATGACTCCTCATAATACTAAAAAATAAATTATACAAATTCATAAAGCTCATCATGTTTTTAACGAAATAAAATCGCTTTTTATTCAAAATTCGCTGAGCTTATTTTTACTAATTTTATAAATTTAAAATATTGTTTTATGACCCACTACTTTCAAGTGACCTAAACCTGATATTTTGTTTTGTTTAACTTTTAACAATTTGTTTTTGCTAGATACTGAAACCTAAATTATATTTTAAAAGTCTTCTCGGAACAGCTCTGTTAACAAGTTAGATTAAAAACAAGCAAAATCTTAAATTGATCGTGTACCTTTTTTATAAACAAATTATTGCATATTCTGATTAATTTAACCTTCCGGCGGACGCACGTCTTTTGTGCACGAGTTCGGGCGCAGTGATCTGACAGATTCAATTTTCAGATAGGCTTAGTAAAGTGCTTTTTTATATTTTTTACCAAATAAATAATTAACACTAATTTTTTTAAGACTATATAGTAACTTATAAAATACTATACATACATAAAATGCGCAAATAAAATCAAATATAACTAATTTTTGTAAAGACAAAATAAATTTTTAGATATGCATACTAAAGTGGTTTTTTTAATATTTTTACCAAATAAATAAATAACAACGTTTTTTAAAACTTTAATAAATAACATAAAATTAAAACATACATGTATGTATTTATGCATAAATTCCGAAAATAAAATAAAACAATTTTTTTGTAACGAAAACTAAACAAAATAGGTATTTTATACACATATTGTATATCAAAAAAAAAAAATTATGAATAATTATTAAAACTCCTCATTAGATTTAGTAATAACAGTTTTATCCAAAATGAAGTGCATACGAAAATTGCAAGTTGTAAGTGCTTTTTGACATTTTTTGCACTTTATTTAGAAAGCGGTCTAATACCCGATTCTGAAGTACATGGTAAACATCTTCGTTTTTTAGGTGGTTGTTCTTCTTCTTGCTGAACTATCATATTATAAATTTAAGTAAAAATGCATACAAAAAGTTATAAATCAATACTTACGTTCATAAAAAGTTAAAAATTTGTAAATATTAAATTATAACGTAATCGGGCGCACTGTATCTAGCAGATTAAAATGCCTGCCACCACCTTATAAGGCGATTAAACACAAACTGCATTAGACATATCGGTAAAAGTCCTAAAAATATGAAGCTACTGAAGGGTGGGTAGTTATGCCTATAAAAACAGTGCGTTCGTGTGCAATTTTTTAACTGGTGTATCTCTTAGATCGGTTGCGCCCGCCGGAAGGTTAAATATTTGAGTTTAAAACCTAGAGTTAATACATATCTTTATAATATAATATATTATATTTTTAAAACATATAATAATACATAGTTAATACATTTCTTTATAATATATTATAAATGAAAAATGTTTTATTTTCCTTTAAAAATTCATGATAATTTAGTTGCTTAAAAAGAAGATATTAAATAGCTAGATCTGGCCCTTGAAACTAAAAAATAATATTTTAAGAAATCACAATTAAATTAAATTATTTATACAGGGTGCTTCTAAATTCAGTATACATATTTTAAGGGTGTATTCCTGAGGTCAAAATAGGACTTTTTTACTATAAACATTTTAGGTTAGGCGAGAAAAATCGAATATTTTGAACTTTGACTACAATTTTTTTTTGACTACATTTGGTTTAAATACAATTTAAACTGTATTTTTCTAACGATTTTAACTTATTCTAAATTTTATCCTTTAACGATAAAATAGATTAAAATCACAATTATTTGCAAAATAAAGTATAGGTAAATTGAAATTTATTTAGAACTGTTTTTTTTCACTTGGGCCCTTTTTTGACCAAGCCACAGATTTATACATTAAATTATGTAAAAAATTTCGAGTCCCTATTTTTATTCATATTTTGACTTAAAAATAACATAAACTTAATTTTAGGGGTGAATAAGGGGGTTTACACTTTTATAGACAAAATTTTATGTTTCTTTTCACTTTCTTCAAAACTAATTTTCATCATCTGGGAAAAATCTAAAATTTACATTTTTTTCTATAGATCCAACAATTTTCGAGAAAATTGCTGTTGTACGAAAGGGTAGTATCAAATTAAAAGATCGTACTGTAGTTTTCTTGCATCCTTTAACTTTTTGCATCTTTTAATGCTTGACCAGCTGGTACAAATTGATTTTTAAAAAAATATAAATTAAACATAAACTTTAAAAATGTTTAATTATTTTTGGATAAGAAAAAAATTTAAAAGTTCTAAATGGAGTTACAAAAATACCAGGTTTTAAATGTTAATCTTATATATATGTTGCTAATTTTTTACAAAATCTTTATAGAATCTCAAAAATAAGTTAGTAGTTTCAAAAAAACTCAAAAGATATGTCACATGACCCTACTTTCCATTGAAAAAAATATAACCTTTTGACAGTAAGACGCCATTTTAAATTTTATCAAAAATTGGTATTTAATTTCTAGTTTAACATCTTAAATGTGCAATACCCAACCTACCGGTTCTAATAATAAAAGGGAGGGGGTGCGTATAAAAAAATAAATTATTTTACTACAATTGTCATGCACTATAAAAAAATTGGTACACTAAAACTACAAATCTAAATGCACTCAAATACTCACCCCGCGTTGAATCATAGGCTATAATAAAATAGTCATAAATAATTGTTTGTAATTTTATTGTGCTACTCTATTCAATAGTCTATTGTATTTTTAATAAATCTAGCAAAAAGAAAAGCGCATCCCAAATAAACGTCAATGTATTTACATTAGGAATTCGTTTTTTACAAATTTTGAAACTAAATATCGTACAAATACCCCCAACTGCTGGACCCCTGAACTATTGCAGAGTCTTTCTACATAAAAATACGAGAATACGTAGGAAATTAACCAAGCAATTTTGTTCAGCAGAAACTATACCGATATGTCTTTGTATTTTCTGAATTTTAAAGCAAAAGATTTTACCTGGACGATTAAAGAAATTAAAACAAAACTTACCACCGAAGACATGTTTAGTATAATCATCTGTGCTTGCTTGATGCCCATTGATGATGGCAGTGGACATTTCAATTGGTGAAATACTTGTTTCAGTAGAAGCCACCTTTATAAAAAATAAATAAACCAGTTAAAAACAATTTGATTATATAAAGTGCTTTTTATTTTAAAATGCAGTTTTATTTGTCTTATATAGACTCGAAATAAACTTTTAATGTGTTTAAAAGTTTACCTACTGTCGATTAAAATGCAAGTAATGCTTAATTTTCTGCGAAAGCCAAGGCAATAACAAATTTTATTGAATAAATAAATTTTAACCGATTACATTACCAAATCATTTTTTGTCAAAGGGCTTCTCTTAAGCCCCAATTAGAGATAAACATTGTCCGATCAAATTGTTTTTTTTTTATATATTTTATTTTACTGGACCACTTTTTCCAATATAGGCTTCGCCCCAATTTACAGGCTGTTTTTTGTATACATACATGTATTAATGGTGTACAAGTTCTCATTTTCAATAATGAAAATAGATTGCGGACAACAATGATACACACCTAATCGACTTTATCACTGCTCATTATAGACAGTTAGAAATGGATGTTAGTAATATTATTAGTGATTTTTCTTCAAGGAAAGCACGCAAAGTATATTTTGCCTAACAAAAACTACCTTCAAGCGTTTTATATATTAAGCTTTAATATTTTAACGCTCACTACCAAGGTATTCGATTATCTCCTAGGCTGTAAAAATATTTTAGACCAATCAAGTAAAGTTTTTTACATCCTAGTCTGTAAATAACCCGTCTAACCCCCCTTTATACTTTTAATACTTTTTATTACACACTACGACAAACTTTGATTTTTCCCTCCCATGAAAAATTCCTATAGATTTTGTAAAAAGACTAAAAATTATACCCATATCTCGGCGTTTTTTCAGATCACGTCAAGTGAGATCCAATAAAATGTTATCCACGCACATAATATAACAGCTTCGATAACAGCTAGACTGTATGGTTTAAAAAAAATATTCACTAAATAAATAGACAACAATTAAAGCTAGATTTTAAAATTATTTTAATTATATACAGGGTGTTGCACATTTACGAAATACAGGGTGTTTTACGTTCGTGGTACATTGAAAGTTTCTGGGGAATGGCAAAAGAACATTTTTAAAGCGTTTGACTGGAAGTGACATCAACTTTGTTATTTTTAATAGAACATCATTTTTAAAATGAATAGTTTTCGAGGTATTTTTTTTATCTAATGAAAAAGAAAATTAAAATACCTTTCGATTAAATTACCTACATCCTATACCAAGAGTTAATAATTTTAGAGATATTTTATTTTTAGAATTAGTAGTAATTGTATTTATCCAAGAAAACTGAGAAAATTTCGTGTTAGACCTGAATATTTTACAGATTTAAATGAAGAACAGATTTCGTGTTTCAAAAAATATTATAACTTTTAAATGAAGAAATATGAAGATTTTTAGAATTATTAGAAATTGTTATTTATCCAAGAGAACTGAGAAAATTTCGTGTTAGACCTAAGTATTTTACAGATTTAAATGAATAAACAGATTTCGTCTTTCAAAAAATATTATAACTTTTAAATGAAGAAATATCAGCCAACATTTCTTTAAAAAAATAAGCGCTTTCTTTCCGGCAAGTTATTAAATTAACTTTACGATTTTTGCATTTTGCATGCAACAATGTTCTCATTTTTTTCAACTATAGTTGAAAAAAATATAGTATAGATACAAAGCAATAGCCAAGATTCTTTTTCACTAAAGTTAGCGAACCTTTTAGCTATTGCTAAATCCATTTTTTTGTATAATTTGTACAAAATTTGAAAAACTTTAAACACAAACACAAACCTAACAAAAACTTACCTGCAAGAACAAATATAATTAAAGCTACTTACAATTTTACATTATTATATGCAATAAATAAATGTATACACAAACCTAACAAAAACTTACCTGCAAGAACAAATATAATTAAAGCTACTTACAATTTTACATTATTATATGCAATAAATAAATGTATACCAATTTACTTTTTAAAAAACAAAAATAATAAATTTATATTAATATATATATATATATATTCTAGTTTTTTTACTGATTTGTCTTCCATATTATAATGCGAAAACAATAAATTTGAAAATCCTGAATGGTGGACCACCATGTCATACAGGGTGTCTCGCTTATCTCCTCTCGGCAAAATATTTTGACAGATTTGGGTTAAGAAAGTGCGTTAGGCCCAGTTGTATACAAGTTTGTTTAACAACAGATTAATAAATCACGGATTAATAAAATAATAACTGGTTAAAGAAAATTTAGTTGTACAACTCGGTTATGCTTCAATTAGTTAATTTTCAACATTAAGGGGAAATTCCCCTGGGGAATTCACTAAAAAAATCCCCAGTTGGCAAATTTTCGTATTTATCAATTATAATAATTTTCCTAATTACCTAATTTCCATATTGCTGAAGCCCTCGCCCACCATACCTATCCTACCTATCCTCAAATTTAAATTTATTGCATATATTAATTGTAAGTAGCTTTAATTATATTTGTTCTTGCAGGTAAGTTATTTGTTAGGTTTGTGTTTTTGTTTAAAGTTTTTTGTACAAATTATACAAAAAAATGGCTTTAGCAATAGCTAAAAGGGTCTCTACCTTTAGTGAAAAAGAATCTTAGCTATTGCTTTGTATATTTGAAAAAAATAAGAACATTGTAGAATGCAAAATGCAAAAATCGTAAAGTTAATTCAATAACTTGCCTGAAAGAAAGACCTTATTTTGTATTAGTTTTTAAAGAAATTTTGACTGATATTTCTTCATTTAAAACTTATAATATTTTTTGAAAGACGAAATCTGTTCTTCATTTAAATCTGTGAAATACTAGTTTTCTTGGATAAATAACAATTTCTACTAATTATAAAAAATCTTCCAAAATGCTACATTTAACTGTTTTAAAATTAAATAAAAATTACAAATTCTCGTTTTTACGATATCTCGAAAACTTAAAATTAGTCATTGATCGGCATGAAAATGTGCAAATTTTTCTAATGATAAGCGAGATATCCATTTTTCGCCTCAAAAAACGGGCCAGGATACAGGAAAGGGCAATTGGTACAATAAGTAATATTTTCATGAAATTGACATTGTGGCGCCATCTAAGAATGTTTTACGTAAGCTTTTAGGTTGGCAAAAATATGTGTCTTGTTATTCTTATCTTACAATGATTTTATCCTAACCCCACAACCAATCTCATTTACATGGAACCAATGAAACTATACAAAGTTGGTCAGAGCCGTAAACTTCGCGGCCTATAATAATAAATATCTAAACGTAAGCAGTTGATATTTAACAACGAAAACCATCTTGTAACAACGTTAAATCATTGGAGACTGAATTGTTTGCACGAACCTTGTCTGAATGGAAGTTTAATCCAGCAAAATGATGCCATTTGACGCTGTTTATGAATGCCAGCCTTCTTATTATGTTAGTTTTGATTAAGTTAAGTTTTACTTATCATGTTGTAATTTGTTTCTGTAAGCGTTTCATGTCATTCATATGTAGTCTTAAGTTTTGTTCACACACTATGACATACATTGTATTTCTTACGGCGCACAGTGTTTCAATTCTCGAAAATATCGGCAAAACTTCAAAAATTGACATTTTTTTTTTGGGTAAATTTTGAGTTAGATGGATAGTTAATACCTGTCTCCATCCTGTATTAAAAAAAAATTATATAAAATAGGTATATTTTGTCTTGTATATCAGTTTGCGATCGCTGCGGAAAATTGTTTATTTTTAAAAGTGAATAACTTGTGTTTGGTGTGTCCGATTGTTATGCGGTTTGATGAAAGGTGATCTTCAAGATATGTAAAATTCAGATATGTATTTGTTTTTCGTAGATTTTGCTTGTACAACGGGTTATTGTAACCAACAAGATCGGTCTGTTAAAATCGCAAACTTTGAATCGAGCTTTTAGAACAATTGAGCTACAAAAATTGTAATGCATTGTAAGACATCAGTTCAAGATCCGTTGAATAGCTTAGAGTTTTGTCTATGAAGCCATCAATAAATTATCTGCCCCAACTCGCCCCCGGCTCTTTAAAACTACATGTTCTTGGGCGCTCAGGCACGGTTGTGGTAAAAAACCTCGCGATTTTAAGCCTATGTCGCGTGCGTATCTGTGTTTTTGCTTTACAAAATATAAGATTTTTTTTTATTTCTGGGTTTGATTCACTCGGATTTAACTCAAAACGTTTACTACAACAGCGGTGTCTAGACTTTCACTTGCGTAAATCGTTCGTGACTACTAAGATTTTTAACACAGATTTTACATATTTAACCCACAACTCTGCATGCGCATTTTGTTGACAATTTTTTTAGAGAATCCAGTGAGATTGTTTAATATATATGTAGGTATTAAATAATATCATATAAATGTAATTATAATAAACTAAATTAAGCTATTTTATAAAAAGATGTTTTATTTACATTTTAAAAAGAACCTCTTACGAGTTTTTAATTAATTTCGACAATTTTTTGATAAAAATGTCCGCCATTTGAGGTCCACCATTTTGAATTTTGGAATTCTGATTCCAGATTTATTATCAGCGACCACAAAACCCCTGCATGGTAATTTTTAATTTATTCCGTCAATTTTTTGACAAATATGTCCGCCATTTTGGATCTAACATTTAATATTTTGTAATTCTGATTTCAGATTCATTACCAGCGACCACAAAAACTCCTGTATGGTGATTTTCAATTTATTCCGTCAATTTTTGGACAAATATGTCCGTCATTTTGGATTTACCATTTTGAATTTTGGGATTCTGATTCCATATTCGTTATTAGCGACCCCAAAAACCTCTATAAACGGATTTTTAGGAGAATCCGACTACTCCTTGATATTTTGTCGAAAATTTCGAGAATTGCAATACTATGCGGCGTTATATAATAAACCTTTTTTAAGTAGGCATAAACTAATTTGTTCTTAATAATATTATATTATATTATATTATTTTATATTATATTATATTATATTATATTATATTATATTATATTATATTATATTATATTATATTATATTATATTATATTATATTATATTATATTATATTATATTATATTATATTATATTATATTATATTATATTATATTATATTATATTATATTATATTATATTATATTATATTATATTATATTATATTATATTATATTATATTATATTATATTATATTATATTATATTATATTATATTATATTATATTATATTATATTATATTATATTATATTATATTATATTATTTTATATTATATTATATTATATTAAATTATAATCCTTAATTTTTTACAAAATAAAAAAATTTAACACAAAAGTGCGTAAGTCCCAAATCATTATATTTTTTTACAATCCACTTTCTACAAGGAAATGTGTAATATTTCATAATCAAAAATAAACCTTTAAGCCTCAATATCACCTATTTGTGACTAAGGTCCTTTTTGCATTGACCCCTTCAATTGCCCCCTAACTTGCAAGCGAAGCCGTTTATTTTGAAAATTTTGAAAATTTGTTTTTGTTTTTTTTGTTCTCTTTACCTATAGATATATGTTTTTATTTCATATTTTTTTAGACAAACATCAATTTAAATGTATTTCTCGAAAAACCAATTGGTAATTTAGCAAACTTATATATTTTATAATAAATATATAAATACAATTAACAAAATGAATTTAAATTTAAGAAGGTTTAATTTAAAACAACTAAAATAACCATAAAATTACTTTGTTTGTCAAATGTTATTTATAAACATGTTTTCTTAGCGTCCTTCTTTGTATAAACAACCGCATATTGAATTGCAAATAACTCAATTGATTATTGGATTTTTTTAATGACGGTGTTTATTTCCAGAAAAACCTTAACCGCTTGAGAAATCAGTAGTAAATAATAAATAATTAAAGAAAATTTTTGGAAAATTTCCAGTGTTATAATTTATCCCAAATTAATGCACTATAACCTTCTAAAAATACTTTTATCTATTTTGGGTTTGGTAATAATTAAAAAATTAATATTGGATGTATGTTAATGTAAAGAGCTGATTGTAAAGCGGAAAAGTTTATATTTATAATCCAACGCTGCACTTAAATATTATTTTTAAAAGTGACTTTCTTGATACTTTTCCAAATGTACGAAAACCCATAAATATATTTTCGTTTATTTATAAATAAAACCCAAAGCCACTTGTTTTGCTTTAAAACAATTTGAATTTGTCTGCAAGCCGGACTGTGCAAATTAAATACATTTAAATACTCACGGTGTGACCGGTTACTCCGTTGTTGTTGGTAATTTTTACAGACAGTTTAAAATCTGGGCTTAAACGTAATCTGCAAATAAAACGCGTAATTAATTGGCAGGAAAATAAAAAGTAGAAAGAAAATTACCAGATAGCAGCTTTGTATATCAACATGCGATGTAGACTACACTAGTAAAAGCCACGTATTTTCATTCCTTGGGCGCGCGCAGTCCCGCGCGACGAATAGTCGCGTCCAGCTTTCAACTATGAAAGTTCAAGGAACCTAATGCGACAGTATTTATTTAATTAAAATTGTTTGTTCAGGATATCATATCATAGGGGAGTTATTTAAAGGGTTTATGGTGTTAATTCCAATAAATATGGTTCTTTAATACTATATTACACGTTTTTATAACTATAGTTATACAGGCTATGCCAGAATATGTGGCCATCTCCAGAATTCATATAATAGTTATTTATGGTACTAGTGTGTTATGTTGATTATTTTTTAACGTTTCTAAAAGCCAATAGAAATTTTCAATTTTAGTCATGTGTGTACGTTTAAGCTAATCAAAAGATTATTATATCGGAAATAATATCTACTAGAATTTATTTTCGCGACAATACAATTCATTAATATTAGAACCAATAAAATGCCAGTATTCCATAGTGACGTATTTTATCACAGCGGCAATAATTTTTATCATCTTGTTTACACGTTACTAAGAATTTTGACACTTTTTTTGATTTAACATCTGTTGTCATTTAAATTCTGTATTTGATATATATCAATAAAATAATGAATTATAAACTCTAAAAGATCGATGGGTTGGTGTAAACGATAATGAAATTAAGGTAAGTTTGAATAAATAAGGTTTATTAAAGTCTTTTTATATTTTAAAGCACATTTTAATTTTAAATGTCAATCTGACAAATTTTTTAATTCCTAAAATTCATTATATTTTCTCACTAAATATAACTCGTGGTATGATTAATAATCGAAGATATTAACTCATTGAAACCGAAGCAGCACATTTCACTCGTCCTGCGGACTCGTGAAATCTGCAGCTCGGTTTCAATTCGAAAATATCATCGATGATAATCATACCACTTGTTATATTATGGGTGAAAATGTTATGACCTGTCAGATGACAGATATTTGTCATTAGTATTATAAAATAAATAGCAAAAGGTTTAGTTCAACATCGGAGGATGAAATAAACGCCCAAATTAGAAAAAAAATACTCAAACCAGCAATAAATCAATTTGGAAACAATTTCAAACGTTTTGTAGTGAAAAGGGATACACTTTTGAAGAAACTACACCAATTACAAAACTGGCATACATTTTGAAAGATTGGAGATATAACATGAAACGGTGTGATGGAAGAGATTATAAAGAATTGGTTATAAAAATTATGTGGAATAAAACCGCCAAATTAATGCAAGAATTTTATTATAACGAATTTAACAGAATATTTGACCCTTTTAAGGACGTGGAATTTAAATGTGCACGAGATGCAAGAAATACAAAGCGTAAAATATTACAAAAGGAACCTGAAAAAAGAAAACAAAGTTTGGTAACTTTAACAAAAGAAGAACTTATTGATATGATAAAATTTTACGATGAAGACACGCCGTATGGCTTGCAAAAAAAGTATATTGCTTCATATGAATTGGCATGGCGTGGAGGAGAAGCAAAGCAATGGTTAGTATATTATTTTAAAGAAGAATGCGACAATGCTGGTTTAATAAGTGGAAGATTTGAATATAATCCAGTATTTTCCAAAACATCTCAAGGTGGAGCACAAAGATGTGCTAATAGTAAATGGTTAACACCAAACCCTGAAAAGTCTGATATTTGTCCTGTACGATTGCTTAAAAAATTGTTAAGCAAGCGAAAAGAAAATATTACTACCGACAGGCTATTTTTAACAGTAAACATTACTTGGGACAACATAAAATCTTCAGGATGGTACAAAAATATGCCAATTGGCATAAACACAATTTCAAAATGGATGAAAGAAACTGCAGAATCTCATCTAGCTAAAGCAGGTGTAAATGAGCAGGAAATAATACAAATAACAGGCCATAGTTCATCTAGCTCATTAAAACCTTATCTGTAACTGGATAATGTCCACCAGTAATGGACAAAACATTTATAATAATTGTATTTTTAATATACAGAATTTCCATTCTAATTAATTTTGATATAACTACCTATAGGTACTATAGTAGTTTAATTTAGATTGTAATTTATTAACTTTTGTAATAAAAAAATTAAAACCAATGCCATTTTGCAAGCTCTATATCGTCAAAAAATAATCTTTCGAATACCTACAACACGAGACATCAATAAATTGGAAAATAAATCTCCAGATATTTCTCAAACTTGTTGTCACAACAAGTTTTCGACATTTCTCAAATTATTTTCAATTTATTTTCAGTCTTTTGTGATATTACTGTTGACTATTTCCCTCGTCTTAATTTCCACCAATCACAAACGCGCAATTTTGAATTAAAAATGGTTTCTAGGTGAAAAAACTATGTGACAGCACCTGTCAGCAGTTTTTTCGAGTTTACCCGCGGCAAAACTTGACAGCTGTTGTCACAAAAAATTGCAATTTATATTTTAATTGTTAACTATTACTCATGAAATAGTCGTGTCAAATACCATTCGGGCATCTAATTTTTCCTGTGAAAAAAATCGAAAAAACACAATGCTAAGTAATATTTTTGAACAAAATGCATTCGTGCAGGTGCAAAAATCCTCCTCTTCGACTCGGATTTTTGTTACCACCAGCACTCATGCTTTTTGTTAAAATATTACTTAGCAACGTGTTTTTTCGATTTTTTTCGGAAAAATTAGATGCCCTTATGATATTACTTACGATAATAATGATAAGCTTTGTGATCAAATCAAATACTTGCGTCTTAGTACCCTATAAATGTCAGAATGACTTGACAGTGACTTTTTACATTTTGGTCAAAGTAGGTTGTTTGTTTGGTTGCCACGGGCATGATACATTGTTAGCAAATGGTTAAATAAATTTTGACACGTCAATTTTTCCTTCAGAAAAGGGAAGCTTTTTTGAAGAAAAAAACGTAGGTATAGAAAATGGAATAAACCGATGAAAATTACGTTCCTAAGGATATCCTTACGGAAGCGGAAGAAGCAGCGATGCAGATTTTGCCAGAAAAGTCCCGAGATGCTTACGACAAGGAGTTGAAAATGTTTGAGTCGGAAGATGAAAATGTTCTATTGGCTTATTCTTAACATTTGCAAATAAAATTAGCCCCATCGTCGCTATGGGCCAAATACTCGATGCTTCTATAAAAAAAATCGACATTTCAAAATATGGCAAGCTAAAGAGATTTTTGAAAAGCAAATCACAGGGATACAAACCAAAGAAGTCCAAGACATTAGAACGACCTGAAATAGAGAAGTTTTTGAACGAAGCTCCCGACGAGTACCTGATGAAAGTGGATTTGATAATGGGGTGCTTGTAGATGCGATGAATTGGTCATTTTGAAAATAGAATATATTCAAGACAAAGGGAAACATTTTCACGTAGTTTTTCCAGACACTAAAACCAAGAAATTGAGAATTTTTCCCATACTTGAGGAAGGATTTCCAGTCAACCCAATCAATTTGTGTAAAAAATACATGTCTTTAAGACCAAGTTCTAGCCGCTTTTCTGTTTTTTACAAAAACGGGAGGTGTACCAGCCAGTGTGTGGGAATAAATACGTTGTCAAAGATACCTTCAAGAATTGCAATGTTTTTGAAATTGCAGTAACCAGCGCTCTACACCGGTCACTGCCTGAGAAGGTCTTCGGCGACTCTTTTTTGCCAATGCAGGGTCTAACATGACTACTTTGAAGCGTCACGGTGGATGGAAGTCCTCGATGGTAGCAGAAGGATACCTAGAAGAATCGGTGCATAACAAAATACAAATTGTAGAAAAAATACAAGGTTCTAAAGCGTCGGTGTCTTCCAGCAATATGAGCAGCTGTATCGATATGGGAGCGTCTGGTTCCAATGAACCAATGAATTTTACAATGACTTTAAATTTGAATAAACCGTTAGCGTGTTTCTTTAATTTCAATATTAATGTGAATTCTGCTTGTAATAGTAATAAATAAATAAAATACCACTAAATATGTTATTAGTTATAATCCATAACTCACTAGTGAGTTATGGATTATAACACACTAGTGTGTTATTTGATAGTTTACTTGTCTAAAATTACATTAATAATGACAGTCATAACTAATGTTAATACATGTATTAACTAATGTTAATACATGTATTAACATTATTTCCTTTCAATTTAATGTATTATGTTGTAATACATTAAAATTACATGGGCGTCGCGAGGAGGGGTCACATCCCCCAACTTTTCCTGGAACGGCGTTTTACGAGGTTTCCATAAAAAGACATCGGAATTTGAATGCCGATGTGTTTTCCTTTTTTTAATCGGATACCTTAACACACTGGATAAGGTAAAGGTAAAAAAATTAATAATAAAGGACAAAAAATATTGTAATTAAATGTAATTAAAAATAAAATTTGGTGTTGCAGTTACAATATGTTTTGTTTGAAGGTTTCATGTTACATTTTAGTTAAAAAAAAACAATATTATTGTAAATAAATAGTTCTTTTTGTTTCAAGTAGGTACAGGGTGATCCCCTATAATGTCGCCCCCCTTTAACTTTTTTATTTTAAGTGTCCCAAAAATTTAAAAGTGTGGTTATGTAGGAACTAAAAAATACTTTTTTTCTACGTTTAAAGAAAATTGGAAAATTGATCAGTATACAGGGAAAAACAAAAAGTTTATTTTTTTTCAATGGATCACCCTATATATGAATTTATTTTTCGATTCCTTGTAAAATTCTGAGCATAATTCATATAACATACCATATACCTAAATTCAACCGTTTCTGAAATATTTAAATTATTTTTAAGATACAAAGTTGAAATAGTCCGTCCGGAATTAGCAGATGAGTCCTGAAAAACCTTATTATATATATATATATATATATATAGAAAACGCTTAAATTTGCAAATTTTCCATAATTTTTAAATCTAATGTTCAACAAAGTTGGCTTAGAAATAAATGATATAGTAGCACCAAGTTTGTTGATTTGATAATTTTGTAATTCATACGAAATTT